TTCCACATAGTGCTTTTTTTTTGGTGCTGTTCTGTAGGTTTGAACTCTGGGCCCGTTGGTCTTCTTGTCACAAGCTTGTCACTCTCCCCTGCCACTTCTACCTGCACAGGAGCAGGGGAGAGTCTTTAGGCCAAGGGAGCCCCCAACACTGGTGGGTGCAGGTCTGGCCCTTCTGCAGCCCTACCGTGGCCTCCTGACCCCGCTCTGGTCTCGAGAGCCTCTTGCGTGGCTCTTACGCGGTGGCCTGGGGGATCTCCCTGTGTGCAACAACTGGGTCCCACACGACACGTCCCCCCATGAGAAAGCCAGTCGGGAACCTTTAGAAAGGATGGGGACAAGGGGAACAAACAAAATCCAGCCAAAACCACCTTCTCCGTGGTTGGATTTTTGTTTTATTTCTTGGTTCATTTCAAATGACCTGTAGCATGAGCACAAGTAAGAAGGGCTGTTTCCTCTTTACAGTTTTTCCAGAAACGGCAGATTTGGGGGTAAATTTGAGTTCTGTTCTATTGAGGGGGAAGGTCTCCTAAACTCTCCCGCTGTCAGCCCCCTCCCCTCCCCAGACAGGGCCCACATCTGTCTGGGCTTCCAACTAAGGAGCTGGCCCCTGACCTTTTCTAAATGTCCAATGGATCCATCAAACGCACACTAGGAGCCTTCCCACGAGGAGTTCCATTGTTATGGATACATTTCCTGTTGTGACCAGGGGTTTGAATAAAAGCAGCCTCCACCTCATGGGCACCCAGCCCTCAGGACTGCCACCCTATCTCTCTGCTAATGTGGGGGGAGCCAGAGAAACACTGGATCCAGTGATGGGAAGCCGCCCCATGCGCAGAAGGCCCACTGCCTCCAAACCAGGTGATGCCTGGTGAGCCACAGGTGCTTTCCCTAGGAAAGAGGGACTGAAAATGCCAATTGTGCACAGGCCGCTGCAGGCATGGTGGACAGCCTGGGGCCACACGCTGGAGCAGGAAGGGACAGTGCAGAGAACAGGGTGCCTGGCGGGGAGAAGCTGCCATCTGCCATAGCTGCCCAGCTGGGGGAGCCCCGCAGAGCATGTCCCAGGGCCTCTCACTGTGAGCTTTCCCGGGCTCAGACCCTCAGGGCATGGCTATGCCAGCCTTGGCTTTTAACAAGGTCTGGCATATTCCTTGATGCTGAGGAGGTCCCATTGCCTTGAGTATGTTCGGCCACCCGGATCAGGGACGAGGGGTGCTGCACAGAGGGCGGGGTGGGGGGTGAAGCACCCTGGATCATAGCTCCAACGCTGGCCCATCAAGTGACTTAGACCTTAGGAGGGGAGAGGGCATATGTCATAGGTCTGTGAGGTCTCTTGGAACCCTTGAAATTTTTTACGTGGGGACACCCTCATAGAGCCGTTCTGTAGTGTCTGGGTTTTAGCCAGCCCTCTTATCTGGGGTGACCTGAGCACGTCCCAGCATGGCCACTCAGGCCCAGCAGTTCCTGGGGTGGAGAGCAGGGAGGAGGGACCAGGGCAGCTGCTTTGATGAGAAAACCGCAGAGGAGGCACCTGCCCTCCTGGTGTCCTAGTGACATCTCCTGCCTCTCCTGGTGGGGAAGGCTGGGTTAGAAGGGTCGGGACAGGGATATCCTAGGTGGCTCGCTCTGATCCCTGCTTGGGAAGGCAGCCCATTGGAAAGGGCATCTCCCATCACATCCTGGTATCCCCCCATCTGTGGAGATTCTCTAAGCTGCCCTCAGCCAAGCCATGAGAACAGATGGGACATTCAGGGCTATCCCTTGAGTGGGTTAAAATTGATTTTCATGGCTATTCACAGAAATAGGGCGACTAACTGTCCCCATTTTCCCAGGTCTGAGGCGTTTCCCGGGACACAGAACTTTCAGTGGTATTAGGTTATTAAGGATAAAATGTCCGATTTCCTTAAGTACTAATTTTGACAGCTGTTATCTCTAACATTTCACTTTGACACTTCTTGTTTTATTTTTATTGTGAAGGTACATCCTCATTCTTTTTTTTTTTTTTTGAGACAGAGTCTCGTTTTGTTGCCCAGGCTAGAGTGAGTGCCATGGAGTCAGCCTAGCTCACAGCAACCTCAAACTCCTGGGCTCAAGCAATCCTCCTGCCTCAGCCTCCCAAGTAGCTGGGACTACAGGCATGCGCCACCATGCCCGGCTAATTTTTTCTATATATATTAGTTGGCCAATTAATTTCTTTCTATTTATAGTAGAGACGGGGTCTCACTCTTGCTCAGGCTGGTTTCGAACTCCTGACCTCGAGCAATCTGCCCGCCTCGGCCTCCCAGAGTGCTAGGATTACAGGCGTGAGCCACCGCGCCCGGCCTCATCCTCATTCTTTTAAATGCACAGTTTGGCTTGTGATAATCTTTCAAATTTTTTCTTAGAGCAATTTTTGTGCAACCATGGATAAGTAAAGAGTTTGTGTTTTCGAACATGAGTTCCATCGTGGAACCAATGCCGCGCAGACAGCACTGAAATATCAACGAAGTGTTTGGGAAGGATGTGGCTAATGAACAAACGGTACATTGATAGTTTGAGAAGTTCCATTTTGGTGATTTTTAATATTGAAAATGAGCCACGTGGGTGACCTGAGACCAAGGTGGATAATGATGAGCTGAAAGCTATAGAGGAAGCGAATCCATCTCAACCTACACGTGAATTAGCAGCAAGGTTTGACATTACTATTCCAACAATATTTGACCATTTGAAACAAATGGGCAAGGTAAAGAAGCTGGACACAGAGGCTCCACATGAACTAAATGAGAGTCAGAAGAGAAGTCATCTCGACGCTTGCCTTTGCTGTCATGACATAAAGGCTAAACATTTTTACACCATATCGTTATGTGTGATGAAAAATGGATTCTTTTTGACAATCACAAGCCTTCGGCACAATGGTTGGTTAAAGATGAAGTGCCAAAACAGCCCAAAACCAAATATTCATCAAAAAAAGCTAACCGTGTCTGTTTGGTGGTCCAGCACTGGTATTATCCACCACAGCTTCATGAAACCTGGTCAGTCGATTACAGCAGATGTCTACTGCGACCAATTGGACAACATGATGAGGATGCTTGTGATTAACCACTTTGGTACGGCGCTCAGCAGCCACGAAACCTCGCCCACAGCCGGCACCCATAGTCGCACGACAGCTTGTGCTGTGCATTGACGACGAGTCCGTTTTGCTCTCGTGTGATGAGGAAAGCTTTAAAGCACTGAAAGCTTGTTTTACTTCACAGGCAGCTTTACTTGTAATGTAAATCAGAATAAGTAACATATACATATATGTTTTTATTATGTTATTTTTAAATGTTCACAATTTTATCTTGATAAATGAAAAATTAGAAAAGTCAAGTTTTGTTATTAACGCTAAAGTTGGCGCTCGGCTGTGTGCGTTCATCTGTGGCTGTCGACTGTAGTTGACGCTCGTACCGAAGTGGTTAAGCAGCTGAGATTGGCCAACAGAAACAGGCCGATCCTTTTACAAGACAGTGCGCGACCACAGGTCGCACAAACGCTGCTCAAACTGCAGAATCTGGACTTGGGAGTTCTCTGTCATCCACCATGTTCACCAGAACCTGCACCAACTGAGTCCCACTTCTTCCAGGCTTTGGACCACTTTTTGCAAGGAAAAATATTCAATTCTCAACTAGCTGTGGAACACGCTGTTTGCGGCTTTATTGCCACTCGCTCTCCAGGCTTCTTTGCTGCTGGCATAAACAAGCTACCGTTAAGGTGATAGTATAGGCCTGTACTTGATTAATTGTACTGTTTCTTGCTTGAGATATAATAAACTAAACTTTTGATCTGAAGTCAGACATTTCATATTTAGTGACCTAATAAAACTAGGAAAGTCCTGGGCAAACTGGATGGCTGGTCACCCTATACAGCAGCTGGGAAGACTGAGGGGTCCTGCTGGAGAGCTGGGCCTGCTCGGTGTGCCAGGAGAGCTACGCCAAACCTCCTGGCCCAAGGGTGGGCGGCAGGAGGCAACCCCTCCTGTGTCACTGGTGCACCAGCTCCCTGGCATGATACTGAATGCAGGGGCTAGCGGAGCCTGGAAGGATCAGGCAGGCTGACGCCCCCACACACCTGACTCCCATGGAGCTCCCTGCCTATTTATCTCCAGCTGCGGGGCCTTTCTGTGCTTGGCAAAGGTGAGTTTGGGCCTCTCCCCAATCTGCCTTGATCCTCCCATGAGGGCCAGCCCAGAATCAGAGCCCTCCAGGTGTCCTCCATGGGGCCAGGCTCCTGGGCTTCCTGCAGCCCACCTGGTCTGGACCTGCCCTCCAGGGGAGGGGAAAGGCTGGAAGCAGGAGAGGGTGCCAGGGAGTATGCTCTGGGCCCCACCCTTCTCTGGGACTGAGTGTTCCTGTCTGCAGGCCCTGGAGTCGCCATGGCTGACTGAACCCACTGAGTGCGTGAGCTCTGAGGTAGGGTCAGGACGGAGCAGGGGGCTCCAAGGGAGGAGAGAGGGGAGGACAGGCGGGCACTGGCCTGGCAGCACAGGCAGGTGGGCGTGTCCCAGAAATGTGAGCTCTAGCCTCTGCCCTCCCGTGGGTGCAGCCAGGCTGGGAGCTGAGTGTGTGCAAAGCCAAGAGGAAGGAGGGAGGAAGGGAGCCATCTGGATGGTGGGAGGACCTCAGAGCAGGCAGGGCCTCTGGGAGAAAGATGCTGTTGTCCTCTGAGTACCTGCCCTCTCCGAAAGGAAAGGTCCAGGTGGCACCCAGCCTGAGTCTGCGGGGTCCTGGGTGCTGAGAACGCCCACCCGGGTGTGGATGGGGGAGGAGCAGGGGAGTTAGGAAATGTACATGCTGCCTCTGAGTGGTTAGGCTGGAGAGGGGCGCTCGTTCCGGTGGTCTCTAGTCCCAAGGGGAGTCAGCCCTGGCCCAGGCCTCAGCACTGCCCATGGAGAGGGGAAAACATACCAAAGAAAAAGCTGGTTACAGATGAGCCCCACGCCCCTGCCCTCCCATCCCCGTCCCCCACCCCGCTGCACCCAGGAGCCTGCGCACAGCCAGGGAGCTGGAACCCCCTTCTTCTGGGACAGTTCAGAGCCACGAGACAGAGTGGAAGGTCGAGGCTGGTGGCTGTGGAGGTCTCTGCCTCGGTCTGTCCGTTTGTCCGTGGGCGGGCGTCGGTCCGTGTGCAGAGCCATCAGACCTTGGCCTCCAGCATCTCCAGGAAGAGTTTGTGCATGGGCACCTTGCCCTGCAGTTTGACGCTGTAGAAATGCTGCACAGCCTTGGCGGCCGTCTGTCGCAGCAGGGGCAGCGTCAGCAGCAGCTTGCCCGTCCTCCGCGGCTCCTCATGGCGCTGGCTCAGCTCGTAGTCCTGCAGCGCCTCGTGCAGCAGGTCCTGCAGCTTCTGCACGGCCTCCAGGTCCTCGATATACATGGAATCTGCGGGCGCAAGGGCGAGCATTAGCGGGCCTGGCCAGGGAGTGCCGTGCCAGGGGTGGGGGCCGTCTCGGGGTCCTGGGGGCAGACAGGCGGGGCTGCCTCCTAAACCCTCCGTGTGCAGAGAGTTTGAACCGAGGCTCAGAGAGGTTAAGCTGCCAGGCTGAGGTCACAGAGGCTCAGGCCTGCAGCTGTGCAGAACATTTCTCCAGAGGCACCAAGAGGTGGCAGCAGAGACCCCTGTCGGGTGCCCTGGAAGTGCCAGGTGGACCCTGGAGCCGGAATGATGGAGTTGGAATCCTGCTTGTCCCTGACTTGCTAGCTGTGTGACTTTAGATGAGTTATTGAACCTCTCTGGGCCTCATGTTCCTCATTTGTGACATGGGGAAGTGGCCACACCTACCTCAAGGGGTTAAAGGAGCTAATACAGGTCAAAGGTTTAGAGCAGTGCTTGCCACAAGTTAAGTGCCTGGGAAGCGGCGTCACCCCCCACCCCCCCACTGCCACCCTCATCACTGCTGATACTGTGACCGCTGCCAGGCACCAGCTCCTCAGGTGTTCAGGGCGCTCACCAGCCTTACACAGTTCTGGGACAGAACACAGAATACGGATGCAGATACGGGGACGGAGCTCCGTGTCAGGGTGCCCTGAGATGGGGGCATGGGGCTCGGTGGTGGAGGGGGCCATTGGGAGTTCTCTAAAATTTGAGGAAGACTTTGAATTTAGGCCATGAATTGGGGGTGCGAATGAAATTTACCTACACCCAGCAGGGAGGCACCTGCTGACAGCTGGGTTACAGCTGGGTCCGATTAAACCGTAAAACAGGAATGCATTCTCACGGGGCAGTGGTGAGGTCAAATGAAATAGCACATTGCCGGGCACTTAGTAAGCACCCCATAAACGCCAGCTATTATTAGCATTATTGTGGGGACTCAGGCGGGCAGGCGGCCAGGGCCCTTGCAGGGCAGGAGCGTTACTGCCCCGTACCCAAGTCTCCTCCACATTTTTCTGCTCCCTGATACCAAGGCGGTGAGGGTTCCTTCACTGCCAGCTGGGCGATGAAGCATGGCCCCATTGCTGCACTCTCAGCCACGCGAGCGTGCACCCAAGATGTGGCCGGCCCGGCTGCCAGCTCCCTCTCTCCACCCCTCCCACCTTCCCGCACCCTCCCCAAGGAGGCCAAAATTGGCAGCTGCCTTCGACCAAAAATGAAATAAAATAACATTGCAAGATTAATTTCTTTGCAATCCATCAGCAGGTCTGTATCGATGGCATTGATAAACTGTTAATTACAAAATCAATGGCTATGAATTTTTTCTCCTGTCACGGAGCCTCTGGGATGGCTGGGATGCAAGGGAACGGTGGCCAGCAGGCTCCCGAGGGGCTGTGGTTTGGGGCCAAATGCTGCCTCTGATGCGCTTTGCCCTTCTGCCTAGTGTCAGCCCCGAGCCCCACTGGACCCACACCTGAGTCCTGCCGTCCACTCGGCCTCAGCAATGGCACCCGGTGCCCTTGGGGCTGCCCTTAGGACCACTTTGATGGTGTGGTGGCTCCGGTCTCTCCCTCAGCCAACACGCTCTCTGCCATGCCTGGGTGATTTTCTTCCCTCGAGTCCGGGGCGGGTCACCCCCCACACCCCTCCTGGCTGTTCGTACTGACCCTATTGCAATCCAGTCCCTTCGCAGCCCTTGAGCTGCTGGTCTGACCCCAGACTGCTGTTTTAGCCTTAGCCCCACAGTGGCCTAGTCTTTCCCCGTTTCCTGCTCTGAGCTGATTGCTCCACTACAAAAGCTTCCTCTTCCTCTTCCCATCCTATATGAATCAACCCTCCCTTTGAGACCTGGCTCAGATTTTACCTCCCCAGCTCAGAACAACTGACTTTTCCCTCCTGGAGTCCTGTACACAATGCCCCCTTATGCCAGGGATCACTGGCTCAATTTCTGGTCAAGTTCATGTTGTATCTCTCCTGGGACAGGGGCTACACCCCGCCAGCTCCTCTTCCCCGGGCCACCCACTGTGCCTGGCAGAGCTGAACAGGAACACAGTGAGCTGGGAGGGCTGTGCGCCAAGCTCCACGCTCAGTGCCCTGCCTGCAAGGTTGCAGACTTTTCTTCACAATCAGCTATTATTCTCCCTATTTCACAGATGGGGAAACTGAGGCTCAGAAAGGTTAGGGTGCTTCACACCCAGCGAGTAGTTGCAGAGGCAGAATTTGAACGCAAGTCTGCCTGACCCTGAAGTACATGCCTGAAACGTGTGCTGCTCAGACGGTTCCTGTCTGCCCTGGGGTTGCTACTGGTCCGTGATAGGAAGCTCAGAGCAAACGTTTATAGCAATTGGCAGGATAATTTTTATTTATGTCTGTTGGTATCTAATAATTTAAAAATGGGCTTGTGTTTTTGTACATATGGTTTTCTATTTCATTTTCAAATAATTCATTTTGCTGTATTTTACAAAATGGTCTGTCCATGATGGATTGAACATTTTAAAACATTTAAAAATTGGCCTTCATCACAGGTCTTGGAAAGCGCGGCTGTAAACAGTTACGGGGGGGGGGCGGGAAGGACGGCCGCCTGTTTCCTGAGTCCCTACCAGCAAGCTTGTGACCTGGGGCTGCCTTTCCCCCCAACTGGCCCACCAAGGCCCGAGGCTCTCTGAAATAGGCATGTGTCGTCTCTCTTGGGTCAGCTAGCACCTTGAGCATCACAAACTCCTCCTTCTCCACCTTTAGCTTCTATACTGGCCCACAAGCTGTAGGATGGCTGCCAGATGCCACTGGGGCAAGAAGTCTGGTTCCTGGAACCTGTCACATGTGACAAAGTGAGTACTCAGGCAAAGGCTGATGCCAATAGAATTCCTGATGGGTTCAGTCAGCAAACTACCGTGGGTCCTCAGGGGGGGGTGTGTGCATATATGTGGTGTGCAGTGTGTACCTGTGAGCAGAGGCATGTGTGAGGGTGTACGTATGTGCACCTGTGGATCAGGAAGGGCAGTGACAGATGGTGCAATCTTATGTTGAGAGATAAGGGTGGCGTAGACAGAGGAATGAGCGGCCTCCTACCTCTTCCACCTCTCCCACACAGGCAAGCTTGAGCTGGTGTGTCTGCTATGAATTAATTAGGAGAGCCCAGAAGTGAGACTTGACCTGCCAGGCCCAGCCAGCCTTCCTGCACCTGGGTTTGGCGACCCTGCTTCCTCAGCCATCGGAACCCAGGCCTCTGCAGAGGCTGGTTCGAATGCTGTCCTCTGCACACGTGAAGCTCAGGGTGGTGAAGCTATTCTGTATATGTCTTGATGGAGATATGTCATGCATTTTTCAAAACCCATAGAACAGTACAACAGCAGTGAGTGAACGCTAATGGAAACTATAGACTTTAGTTAATAACAATGTATCAATATTGGCTCACTAATTATAACAAATTACTACACTAATGCAAGATGGTAATAATGGGGGAACCTGTGCTGGGGATGAGGAGACACAAATAAAACAAAAATATGGAATTCTATGTATTATCTGCTCAGCTGTCTTGTGCATCTAAAACTATGTTTAAAAAACAGCATTAGTGGCCGGGCGCGGTGGCTCACGCCTGTAATCCTAGCTCTCTGGGAGGCCAAGACAGGCGGATTACTCAAGGTGTAGTTCGAACCAGCCTGAGCAAGAGCGAGACCTATGTCCTACTATAATGAAGAACTTAATTGGCCAACTAATATATATAGAAAATTAAGCCGGGCATGGTGCGCATGACTGTAGTCCCAGCTACTCGGGGAGGCTGAGGCAGGGGATCGCTTGAGCCCAGGAGTTTGGAGTGCTGTGGGCTAGGCTGACGCCATGGCACTCACTCTAGCCTGGGCAACAAGTGAGACTCTGTCTCAAAAAAACAAAAAAACAAAAAAACAGCATTAGCATTCTCCAACAAAGACTACATTACAACTTTGGAATTTAAGGTATAAATGATCTTTAAAGAAGTATGTGAAATTTTAATTGTTATTTTGCATTCATTTATTATTAATAAACAGGATTTGAATTAAAAATGAAGTTAGGTTGGGCAGGAGCAGAGCCTGAGACGGGGTTAGGTGCAGGGGTATACGGAGGCGTGGGTTCAGGAGAAAGGAAGTGGGGAGGCAGGAAGGAGCTGGCAGGGCAGCGACAAGGCCTGCCCTCAGCCTGACGCCCTGTGTGGGTCCACTGTTGGCTGATGCTGCCAAGGGAGGGGGCACATAACCCTCCGGGCAAGGGAGGGCGTGAGTGTGGGGAAGGGGGCAGCTGTGAGCTGTTAGTGGCTGGGGGATGGGTGCACTGACTGGGCAAAGTGACCTGCTAAAGGTGGGGGTCTCAACAGCATCCCCTGCACGCGCCATGAAGCCATGTGTTATGGTGACTAACCGTCCCAGTTTGCCAGGGACGGAGGGGTTTTGTGGGATGTGGGACTTTGAGTAGAAGCAGGACAGTATCCAGCAAACCAGCTGGTTCTCCTGTGTGTGCTGTCGCCATCTGAGAGCCAGCTTTCCCTCTTCCGTATGCTGATAACATTGTTTCCTCTAATATTAATAATAATGATAATAATTAATATTTATTGAGCATTGTCTCTAGGCCAGGCACTGGGCTAAGCATTTTATCTTTGGTTGATCTTTCATACTCACAAAAGAGGTACTGGGTATATCCCTACTGAACACACAAGGACACTGAGCTGCCCAAGGTCACACTGCTACTAAGTGTCAGAGCTAGAATTTGCACTTGGGTCCATCTGACCTAGACCTGAGCAATTAACTCTGCGCCACACCTTGCTGTACAGTAGAATTCTGTGTGTAATTCCTGACCAATGCTAATGCTCTCTTTAGGGCAGGGACCCTATATTTCTCTTCCTCCTGCCTCCCCCCAGCACCTGGCACGGCACCCTACACAGTGCGGAAATACGCATCCATTACTTTTCAGTTCACTCACCGGCATTACCCGATGCCCAGCCCCTCTCCCCAGATAACATGGCCAGAAGTTGGTGGATGCTGAAGAAAGTTTTTACCGCCAAACTAAACCACTTAGTTGGGAAGGTTTTATTCCCTTGTACTCAGGCAATTTGATTGAAAGACTCCAGGAGTGAGTGTAAGCTTAGGTTGATTTTGGAATGCAACAACTGTGGTTTGAAGCCTAACTCTGATAATTTTTAACTGTGTGACCCTACACAATTTTCTCCACCTTTCCAGACCTGTTTCCACATCTGTAAAATGTGGTTACAACAAGAAGAACTTTGTCCATAGGACTGTTTGTAAGAAGTAAATTAGTTCAGAGCCAATTTGAGCACTTACGTGCTGGGCATGTTGTGAGCACAATATAATCACGCATAAATAAATCCTTCCAACAGTCTGCGCAGTAGGGACTGTTTGCTGCTGCAAGTGAAGCAAATTGCCCAAGTGGTAGAAGCAGAATTCGACCCTTGGCAAACTGTGGACACAGAATCTGTGTCCTTAACCAGCATGCTGGTCTGGACGTCAAAGGCTTAGGGAATGTACAACCAATGCTAGCCTTCATCACCACCTTTTTTCTTTTTTTTTTCTTTAGTTGAGACAGGGTCTTGCTTTGTTGCCTGGGTTCAAGTGCAATGACACGATCACAGCTCACTACAACTTCGAACTCCTGGGCTCCAGTGATCCTCCCCGCTCAGCCTCCCAAAGTGCTGGGATTACAGGTGTGAGCCACTGCGTCTGGTCCATCACCATCTGTTTAACTCCAGGCCACCCCCTGCTCAATCTTTGGTGACAAAAAGCTTCATCGTCTTCCCATCATCTCCACCCACCCTAGCCGGCTCTGCCCGCCAGGCTGGCACAGACCCCGTGACGCTCCCCCTCCAGGCCCCAGAGCCGCCCTTACCGGAGTTGGCGAGGGCCAGGGCCTTGAGCGTCACAAACTCCTCCTTCTCCACCTTGAGCTTCTTGTACCTGCGCACCAGCTGCAGGATGGCCCGGTAGAGCTCCAGCAGCCCCGCGAGGCGGGAGTGCTCCTCGTCCATGATGTAGTCCTCTGCGTACACCAGCTTGTCGTCGTAGGGCAGCGAGCGGTACACGATGCCCAGGATGAGGATCTCCATCCAGGCGCTCTGCAGCAGGCTCATCTGGTCCCCCAGGGACAGGTTCGAGAAGCCTGTGGGGAGAGGGGCCCAGAGAGCACCAACCATCAGGAGGGTGGATGGGGACCTCCCTGGGGCTTGCTGGAAGGCTCATGGCTGGTGGTGGCTGTGTCCCTGGCATCCCCAGATCCTGCCTGGGGTGGGGGTGTGTGTGGGGGGTGCTCCTTGGGTGGCTGCTAGACTCATTGTCCTTCCCTCGGTGAATGACTCAGACTTGGAATTCACGGAAAAGACTTACATAATAAGACCTCGGTCAATGTTGACAGTTGTTATGATCATTAGCTCTATGGTATTTTTCAAATGTCTGCAGGGGCTTTTTGATTAATCACATGCATGGGTAGTTTAAGAGTTACTGAACGCACAGTAGAGTCAGGAGGCGGCAGTATAGGGTCTCTTCCACTCCGGGGTTTCCAGGACCCTCTCTCTGTGCAAGCCGAGGGAGGCTTTGGTGTTTTAAAATGACACCTGATCCTCCACGCAGTCTCAGCTGTGCGGAGACCCACGGGAGCAACCAGGAATGAGGACGCAGCTGTTCAAAGCCACAGGGGGAAGGCCCTAGTGGCCACGGCCTGGGGCTGCCGAGAGATCAAGAGCCTCGCAGGGGTCAGAGCCCCTCTGCCCGGGCCATCGCTCTCCACTTAAGGATGACCCAGCAGTCCTGCTCTGGGAGCCTGGAATCATGGGAGTCCCCCTCCCTGCTAGTGAGAGGCTGACTCTGCAGAGAAAGAATGTTGGGCCTGGAGAAGGCTCCAGAATGGTGACACTGTCTTGTCCAGTGTGCTCTGGAGGTTGCCTGGGTTGAATCCTGGCTCCCCATTTACTAGCCATAGGCTGCCCTTGTGAAAGCCTGGCAACTCCTTGAAACCTTTGCTTCCTCATCTGTGAAATGGGTATAATAACAGCAGTGCCTGCTTCAGAGAGCCACTGGGAGATCTAAATGGGACAATGAGTATAGAACACACAGAGTATTTCCTGAGATCTTATTGTTAATGATGAGGTGAGAGTCTCCATCTGCAACAGGAGGATGATATACTGGAATTGCATTATATATGCACTTGAAATAGGCCAAGTAAATTATAAGAAAGTGAGAAAGAGAGAGTAAGTGCATAAGTAAATAAGTTAGCTGACCATCAGCCCTCAACGTGCCTTAGCAAAGGTGCTGGTGGCATTCAAACTATTTCATACCAAGGTAAAAAACATAAAGAAGAAAAATTTTAAATTTTTTTAAAAGGTAAAAAATATATATAAATAATAAAAGGTGCTGGTGGTGATTGTGGTTGTTGTTACTATTGTTATAAAAATAACTATTGGCTTCGCTCTTTTTTTTTTTAAGATAGCGTCTCACTGTGTTACCCAGGCTGGAGTGCAGTGGTGTTGTCATAGCTCACAGTAGCCTCAAACTCTTGGGCTCAAGCAATCCTCCTGCCTCGGCCTCCCAAAGTGCTGGGATTATAGGCATGATGGGCCTCCCAAAGTGCTGGGATTACAGGATGCCCAGCCCTTGGCATCACTCTTTTCTTTGCTTTGAAGTTGCCTGGATGGCAGGGTGGTCCTAAGCTTCTGGACTGGCCTATCACTTTGGGCTTGTGTGGTCTGTCCCACCTGTCATCTGCTGTTCTCTGTCTCCAAATGCCACTGTCCTTGCCCATCTTCCACCCAGTACGTGGCTATTCAACCTCAGGGGGCCATCACTGGGGTTGCAGGCCCCCACTTGGCAGGCTGCCCTTACCCGTGAGCACTCTCGGTCGAGTCACCATGGTTCTCAGCCCTTATGTGCACAACCTGGGCCTTGGATGCCCACCCGGCTGCTGGGATCCCAGAGTGATCAACAAAAGAGCGGGAACAATTACACCGACCAACACGGGTGAGCTGTGATTGATGCACCTCCTCGGGGGAGAGGCTGTGACAGAGGGGTCAGGTGTGTGCGGTTGTCCAGATCCCCAGTGGGGGAGAGGGTGTGTGGCTGCCGTGGTGGCCCAGGGAGCCAGGAGGTAATAAAAGATAGATAGAAATGGACATCCAATTTCCCTTATCAGGCCTCTGAGTAGGAGAGAGGCCTTGGGCAACATTAATTAACAGATACCAATCAGCCGGCACAGGGGAGTGTGTGTGGGGTGGGGGGATCTGAAGGCAGACAGACTGGGGGTGGGGGAGACGGAGGAGAGGGGCAGGGGCGAAATTAATAGACAACTGAATTGGAAGGTGGCAGAGAGGGAGGTGCGGGCAGAGCCAGGCTTCTGCAAATGCAGAAGCAAAGGCCCTGCGAGGCTAACCACGCAGGCACGATCATTAGAAGGATGTTACTATCAGGCTTCTGCCCTTGGAGCCATCCAACAAAGATTTACAGAGCACCTACTAAGTGCCAGGCCTGTGCTAGGCCCTGGGGACAGAACTGCTCCAACCAGAACTGCTCCCTGACTGCAAGAGCTTACAGTGAAGGGGGAAGCACACACAAGTGTCACGAGTCAGCACAAAGCTAATGCAGGGCTCTGAGATGGCCCCGTGTGACCCAAGGGGGGGGAGGGTTGGGGGCTGAGCTCTGCAGCGGGTGGGAGGCTAGGGCTCCTCTGACAAGGCACACACGGTAGCCGTGAGCTCCCAGGGTGCACAGACGCTGTGTTGTTCCTCTTCCTACCGCCCCTGCAACGTTTGCAGCACAGAGGAGAGAACGGAAAAATGCCACGAGCCTTGACTGCCAGGCTCAGATTCAGCTGCCCTTGCCTATTGTGCAGGAGTCGGGGAAAGGCCTGCCCCTTGGTAGTGGGAGGGAGGGAGACAGCCACCTGGAAAGTTCTGTGCCACCATCAGAGGATGTACCTGGGAGGCCGGCTCCCAAGCCCCTCTGCCAGGCTGGTTTGCGTGGTGCACTCAGCTTGGTGGCTCGCCCGGCCCTGCAGCCTTCTGGAAAAGCCCTGGGAATAGCTTTGAAATTCCAAATGGATACTTTAAGGGGTTGAACCATGTATATAGGCTGCTTCATTTTGTGCAAGGGAGGGAAGTGTTGGTATCTTTTAATATTTGAAATATTTCAAATATTTTCTAATATTTGAAAAAAGAAACACCAGAAGAAAAAAATGAACAACAAAATTGGTTTCCTCTGGGAGGAAGGAAGGGGAAGGGCCAAGGAGGGAGGTGAGATTTTGTCAAGTTTTGGCTTTTGAACACTGTCAGTGTTTAAGATGTTAAAAAAATAAAATTAAATCATAAATATAAATAAAGCAAAGGTAAAATAAAAGGCATATTCCCTTTGACCTAGCAATTCCACTGCTAGGAATTTCTTCTAGATAGAAAAGATACATAAGACACAAAGGTAACTATAGAAGGGTGATTGTTAGATCACCGTTTGAAATGACCCAAAGCAGAAAACAACCTAAATGTAACTAATGTAATATATGTAGTTATTATATAAATGTAAGTTTTAGTTAAATGAATGGCATTTTAGAAGCTTCTAGAAACAACAAGGTAGAACTCTTTGTTTGGATGTAGAAAGGAACCCAAAGGCATAAGAAGAGCTTAACCCTAAGAGTGGAGATGCCAGAGCCAGGTATTGCCGGAGCTGTGATCCTGCGCAAGTCCACCTGTCAGTGCCTCAGTTTCCTCATCTGTAAAACTGTAATAATAATAATAGCAGGTACCATGTGGGTAGTTTGGATTAAATGCGCTGACGTGTGGATCACTTAGGACACTGCTTAGCCCACAGCAAGTGCTACTACTTTATATATTTAAATGGAAAGAGCAGGTGTAAAGCAGGGTTAGGGTGTGAGCCCATGAGTGGGGTTCACCCCCCAGTGGTTGTTCGTGCCCAGGAAATTCCCAGAAGGAAGCTTAGGATCGAGGACTTGGAACTCTACTTTCTGCCCGTCTGTCACATCTGACATCTTTACTAGAGGCACAACTTTTTTTTCTTTAAAACCCAAACAAAGGAGCCCAAGCACTCCTCCCTGCCCGTAGGTAAAGCAGCCTCCACTCCCTTGTCTCTGTGCTGGGCTGGGTCTCCTTCTCCACCAAGTATTAATAATTAGCAGTTCTGGGACAGAGAGGCCCCTGCAGGAGGGCTGCTGGGGGGGTGGCGAAAAGGGGGGCCGTGCCCCTGGGGGTGTGGGGCTGTCCCAGGCGGCACTGCTCCCGTGGGGCTCGGGCCTGCCCACCCACGCTGCGCTGCCCAGCGCCCTGGCTCCGGGGCCTTCCACCAAGAAAATTGCTTTATCTGCACCAACCGATCTAATAACATTCAGCCTCTTCCCAAGCCCCCCATCCCCCCAGTGATTTGGCACCACGAGCTCTTAGAATTAAAAAAAAAAAAAGGGCACATAATTTGTGGCAAGTGGAGTTCATAATCTGTTAATTTATGATCGTTTCTGTCGACCTGGAGGGCCATTAGCAGAGGTAATAAAGGGAGATGTAATTATAGGATCTGGGGCCACTTCAGACACAGCTGCTGTCACTCGGCAGCTCATATTTCATCAAGCCAGACGGTGGCTACCTGGGAGCAGGGCCGCCGAGGGACCTCCTCGAGGCCTCTGGGATGCCCTGAACATGGCAGCCTGGGCGGGGCGCGGGGACTCCCCACACTGGCTCCCCACGAGGCTGCTCCAGGAAGGAGGATACCGGGCTCAGAATCTTTGGAGGCTGCAATTCCTCAAGTGATGCCCTCTGCCTTTTCAAAGCTGCTGGCTCTTCCTCTTGTCTCCTGCTCCAAGGAAATAAGAGGTGGACACCCTAAGGACCAGCTAAGGCCCCGGGCTTGTGTGGGCAACCCAACACCTGGAAAATTCAATGCATGGTAAAAACCTGCACTGGGGTATAGGACAACATCAGACTGACTGGAACACCAGCTGGGATTCTGAGGGAATCAAGCCTTGTTCCAAATGGGGTCCTTGGGGCAGAAACTATTCTAATGTTTTGTGTCAGCCACAGGCCCTGGCAGGAGACCTCACATAAGGTGACTGCTCAATGTGTGTGGGCAAAGGCAAGTGTGGAATGCCCTCTGCGTGCCAGGCTACGGACCAAGGCTGGAAGACACAGAAGCGGGAGATGCAGTCCCCTGTGTTTAAGGACAGTGAGTGGCCTGCGTCTGTCTCTCTCTCTCTCTCTAAGGGCTAATCAGCCTGTCTTCAGATGCGTTTTCCATCTAATCTGAGGTGGATTAAGTTGATTAGTTTAAAAATACCAGGCACTTGATGTGTCGTTGCCCTTAATATGAGGTTTACATGAAGTGGCAGGGGACTCCACTAATTAATTTTACCTTAAACACTAGAAGGTCAGCACCAGATAATTCAGCATGCAGATTTATGCAAATTAGACAAATTAGCATTTGAGACGGAAAACTGAGCCCCCACTTTTATTTTATTTTTTAACCAAAAAGAATTCATCTCTGGACAAGGAGAAATGAAGACGGGAAAAGAGGCTTTTATTACTATTAGCTATGACAACTGGGATAAGCATCTCTGCCATTTACCCAGTGCCCACTGAGAGTGCTACATCCTCCTGGCAATCCCATCAGGGCGTGCTATTGTGATTCCCATTTTACAGACAAGGACATTGAAGCTCAGAAAAATGAAATGTCTTGCATAAGCCCAGTAAGGACAGAGCTGGGATCGGAGGCCAGACCGCCCGATTCCAAAGTCTATGTCCCCAGCAGCCACCCTGCTCTGCTCCTGCCCTCTCAGTTGGGCCCAGATGGAAGATGGAGCTGGGAGGTAGACAGGCACAGGAAAAATAGGTGCAGGGGAGACAGGGTCTTCTGGTCCTCTCCACTCCCTCCCAGGTGTCGCAGGGGTAGGTGGTAGAAGGAGGAAGCAGTGACCCAGGGGACCGCCAGGCGCCACTCCTGAGCCACTGCTGGGATGCAGTATCTGTTCAACCTAGAGCAGGAGTGTGGGGGTGGGGGCAGAGGTAGCTGTGCCCAATTTGGCCCTGGGTTAGTGGAGCAATCCAGGCTGAGGTGTCTTAAGCAGTGGCCTGACCCCACATCTGTGCTGAACCAGCACTGGGCAGATTCAGAAACTACTGAGTGTGTAATCCCCAAAAGGCTGAGCTCCTTAGTAAGGGCGCACCAGCCCAGATCCTCGGAGAGCCCACTCCAGAGTCAGAATGCCCAGGGGCCACCAGGGAGTCCCGACAAAGGGAATCCTAGGCTTCCTACCAGCTGGGCGACAGCCAGCTGCACCCCCTGAGGCATCTGATCTCTCTGTGCGCCCCTGTCCACAGGAAGGCTCCTTCCTGTACGCTGTGCTGCATGGTCTCACACGGGACTTTCTGATTCGCCTTGATCAATAGTGGGCCTTGGCGTCTAAAGCCTAGGACACCTTCTCTATGTCATCATGCATGCTGTACTTGCCTTTCAGAGCCATGGCAAACAGACAAAGGATCTACAGACCAGAAGCTAAAGTGTCCCATGTCACATAGTTAGAATTAGCATCCATGCTAGGTCACTATCAGAGGATAACAGGATGTCTCTACTACGAGCCAAGTTGTCAGAGCCTTTAAAGGAGTTGAGGCATAAACTGCACAGAGAACAGTCCCCAAAATATGTGTAATGTGGAATATGTGGGTGTCAGTGTTTACAAAAATGAAAAATGCAGTATCAGCTCCCACCATTTACCCAGACCAAGAGAGGTGAAACTGAGGTTTGAGTCCCCGTGCAGTGAAGAGATGTCCATATGACCGGAAACACATTGTGCATACTTTCTGCACCAGAAATGCCCTCAAAATCACAGAATCCAAATCAAGACACAGCCCTCCCTCACACGTCAGAGCCCACAGAGGGGGTGCTGCTGTGTCCCCATTGTACAGAGTGGTCAGGCGGCCCACCCAGGGTCACTCAGCTAATAACTGCACACCCAGAATTGGAATCCTGATCTGATACCCAAAGCCCATGCTCTTAACTGCTCCACTCTTCCTGCCTCGAGTAGGAAGAAAGTCAATCCCTCTTCCGTGTTGTTTTCCAGTATCATCCCAGTAAGTCCTATAAGAAAACCCTATTCTTTGTTCGTTAAGGGTTTAAGGAACTTGTTCCTTGAATAGTACATTGATTGTAGATACAATCGTAGCCCCACCTAGGATGGTAACTGGTCCTGAAGAGCCCCCGGCAGAGCATTAACATCCTGAGCCTCCTAAACACCTGCTTCCCCTAATCCCACATGGAACAGGAGCCCAGAGAAAAAGGGGCTTGGCAGATTCCATGGGGCTCCGAGCGGCAGAGTCACAGCCATTGGGCAGGCCATGGGGACACTAGCCGAGAGTCCCTGGCCACATATCCCCAGCCCGACATGCTCACCTGGGATGTGCTTGGCCCAGCCGATGATGACCACGAGCTCCCGGTCGGCCAGGTCACAGAGAGTGGTCAGGGCCTTGATGTCCCCCTCAGGCATGCCAGGGGGAGGCATGGCGTAGAGCTTGTCCGGCTCGGCCACCAGTAGATAGGAGACAATCTTGGTCACTGCAACAACCAAAGAGGGAAAGGTAAAGGCCTGGGAAAGAGGGAAAGGGCCAGGGTGGAATCTCAGATGGGTCAGGAAGAAAAGCCAGGTTCCCAAAGGCTGTAATCTCCCCTCCCGCTCTGACTCCACAATGTTGCTGGCAGAGCTCTTTGCGTTGCTGAGAAATATCCCTCCAAGAGAAGCTGCCTGATGAATTCTCCCAAGAGGATTCTGCGCAGCAACTTTGGGTGGGTGGCCAGGGGGCGCGTTCTGGATATGGGGGCCCATAGCTTCTTAGGACCAAGCTTCATTTGGAGCCACATCCTATGCCATCCGCTATGGAAAGGCCTTCTGAACGAAGCCTGAAGCATCTGCCACCAACGCCGGGCACTGATGTCCCCTCCCCGAAGACTCACATATCCCACGTCCCAACAGTGGGAAGGTGGGCCTTCCCCAAGGGATGCCAGACGATCCAGGTACAGATGCTGGCAAGGGGGCACGGGCTGCTCTGGCACTCACATGGCTTTTTAGCGGGTGGAGAAATCTGCAAGCTCAGATACGGGCTGCTCTCCGAGTCCAGCCGTCGCTTGTATTTCTGGCGGCCTCCACGCACTCGGTCGAGGCGCACACCTATTGGGGAGGAAAGGGAGACTGTCTCAGAAGTTGTCAACATAGGTGATGCTGACCAGGGGTGCCAACACTGACTTTGGAATTTTTATACTGGCTAAGTCCTTTGGGGCCACGCCCAGATGCCCCATGGCCAGCCTCAGGCCAGGTGGCTGGACAATCCTAAAACAATTGTGTAGCCCATTCCAGTTGCCCTGGCCTGGTCCTGCCTCTCTGGATTCAGCACCCTCCTGAAATCCATCTCAAGCAACCGTCAGCTCTTGAGTCTTCATGCCTCCCAAAGGAAAAACACAACAAAAGCACTCTACCATGTGTTGAAGAAGAAGTCATATCACATTAGATCTGCTTTGAGCCCAGGGAGGGTTGAGGTAACTTGTCGACACAGGACAGGAAACCCTGTCATCAGCAGGCACTTCCAAAGAGCTGAACAAGGATTTTCAAACTTTTCACACAAGAAGCATCTGGGTGGGCTCTTGTTACAAATGTCAATTTCTGGATCCCACCCTCTGAAGTTCCAGGATGGAGCTCTACAGTTTGTCTTGTACACAAGTCCCCATGGGTGGGGATGCAGCGGTCCCGGCCACCCCTGGACAGTCAATGCCTGGAAATATCTTGACAGCAGGTGCAGAAGCAGTGATAGCTGCTCCACCCTGACATCCATTTCCAGGAGTGAGAGTCTACCCTGGAAAGATCTGTTATTGTCAATGTGTCCACACTGCCTTCCAGAAGCCTGCCCCACCCACAGCTCCTGCTATTTAGACAGATACATAGGTACCATTTGGCACCCCCCACCAGTAGATCAAGTGCACAGGGCCCGCAGGCGGGCTCCTCACCCAAGGGTACCTACTGAGGTGGCCTGACCTGCAACAATGAACGGACCCCTTCAAATTTGCTCCAAAGTGTGAACTAACACAGAACGTACCCGACCGCAAGTGCCCAAAGTGTGGTGCTGAGGCCCTGCATGGCCTGGAAGCCACTTCTGTCTTCTTGCTATACCTCCTGAAGGCTGGCCTTCTGAGTCCCCTCTCAGATTCCTTTACTTGAGCTAACTTGAACAGCCCTCTTCCTGACCGTGAAATGGGCCTACACACGGAGACCAGAGTCCTCAAAGAAATCTCAGTTGCTGCCTGAGCCTCTGAGGTGACAAGCCAAGTTCAACATCTGTTCTTTTCCCCAAAGGTAGAATGTTGCCCTCACAGAGCCCCAGTCAGTTGATCTTCTGGCCCCATCCTTTTCTTTTCCAATACTTTCCAGCACTTCCTAGGTCTGGGAAGGATGATAAGGTCTGTAGCAAAAGAAACGAGTGTCCTCCCTGTCCTGGCCCCTCCCAACGCCCCCCCCTCCCCGCCACGCCAGTCCCGCCAGTCCCACCAGTCTGGAGCAGGCAAGAGGAAGCAGGAATAACTGTAATTTACTGGAACCAAAGACTTAGAGCCCATTCGTGCCAGGGCAATTTTCTGGCTGTTTCTTTGTTACGATGCACAGTTACTAAATTTAAGTCCCTGGGAAGGAAGGAAGTTTCCTAGAGCAACTGAAAGTAAAAGTACTTTGTTTACTGAATGGGGACAATTCCTTCAAATATAAATTGCCCTAAAGGGACTTAGGCGAGCTGAGGACACAGTCCCCCAAGTGTCTCCAGCCCACATCCTCCTCCCAAAGGACACGAGGATGCTGTGTGCTCACCCAGCCCAGCTACCTGACGGGACTGTCTCTTTTGGGCCCATGACTACTGGGCATTTTCATCAGCAACGCCCTTTTAAAACTACAACCTGGTACTTTTGTACTTGGTGCTGAACATGGTTGTAGCGAACATTTTTTGGCTTCCTATTTAAAGGTAATTCCCCTACTGGGTCATCTTGTTGGGGCCTGTACCCCACCCTCACACGCCCCCTGGATATCCCAGGGGCAGGGGAGGACTGACGGTGACTACATTCCTGCCCCTGGGCTCTCCGGGGCTTCTCCCGGTTCTCTCCGGTTTCTGTGTGTGAACTTCGAGCTCCTATAGGCTCCCCTTCTGCTTGGAGGGTCAGCATTTTGCAGCTGACAACATCTGCCACTGACTTGTCCGGGAGCAGGCTCCGAGACAAGGATGAGCCGCAAGCAGTTTCAGAGGAGGGAGGGAAGCCAGAAACAAACCGGCAACGCGGCTGCTGCCGGGGGCCACGGAGGCGCAGCTCACTGAGGACCCTGGGGGTGGGTGTGGACACACCTCAGTGTCCATTGCTGGGGCTAGCGGCTGCTCTGGCACTTCCTGCCTCCCGGGCGCAGTCTGAGCAGACTCCGGTGGCCGAGGAAAGCCCTGGGGCAGAGCTGCCATCACAAGGTGTCATGAAGAGAGAGTGCCGGGCGGACACGGGCAGGGACACGGGCAGGGACACGGGCAGGGACACGCTCTGCTGCCTTTCTCCTCAAAGTGCGGCCCACAGGCCAGCAGCACCCCCATCTTTGGGGCTTGGCAGAATTCAAAAATCCCAAGCCTGGTCCCTGAGGCATCAGAACCAGCGTGTCACCAAGGTGACTCGCAGCACATCAGGGCTTGAGGAGGGCTGCACTGTGGCGTCCCGGCAAATGCATGAGTAAAGTCAACCCGCACCCGCACCCGCACCCCAGACCTTACGGGGCAGCTGCGTCCTGCCCAGCCCAAGACCTAAACCTCTGTGCTGGCAGGACCTTGGCTCACATTTGTCCCCTCAATGCCTCTTCAGTGAGGCAGAAGGAACAGACACACAAACGCAGGAAAGATGGAGTTTGGGGAAGAGTCCCTTGTTTAGAAGAGTTTTCTGACCCCATCTGTGACACATCTAAGGAGAAGCCTCCCCTGCCCACTCTGCCTGGGCTGAGCCACACTCTCCACCACGCTCGGCTTCCCCGTGGAACCCTGACGACTTCATTCATCACCGAGACCTGCTGTGCGCCAGGGTCTTGCACGTCCTGTCCCTCCCGCACCCGGGACAAGCCCTCCCCACCTTCCTGACCTTCTCTCCTGGAGGCCAGTCTGGTGACGGCTCCCCAGGCAGCTGTCCACCAGAGCGAGGAATGCTCAACAGAAAACAAGAAGGTGTCCATCCCTCAGCTAGGCAAGGACATGGGCAGCTCTACCTCTGCAGATCCTCCATCTGGAATGTTCTCTGTCCTGATACAGGCAGGGCCCAGCTCTTAGTGGGTGTTCGGGAGACTTGATGAATGCAGGAGTGGAAGTGCCCCCTTCCTCCCCACCCTGTGCCGGGCTAGGTGCTTCCTCGTGGGCTCCAAGGCCATCCTGGGCTTCCCCTGCTCACTGGCCACCCCTTACAGCCGGGGCTGTTCACAGTCCTACTCCAGGGTCTGCCATGGTACCCGAGACACAGTGGGTACTTAGGAAATGGGAACTATGACTTTTATTATTATCATCCTTATAATTATTCTTCCCCAGTATTGTGTACAACTTTCTGGTAAATCACATTGATCACGATAATGATAACAGTATAAATGATGGAGCACTTTCTATAAAGTATTGCCATATTGAACCCACGAAATATAAAGTAGGTACTATTATCCCCATTGTACAAATAAGAAAAACAGGCTCAGAGAGCTTTGGCGATTTACCCAATAAAGGACCCAAGGTCTCTGCCATTCCAAGGTGTGACCTGTGAGGGCACAGCAGGTGTAAACTCTCCTTAGATTTTCTCCTCCAGATCTTTACAGCATAGTGGTCAATGGCTCTGATCAATGAACATATCAATTATCAGGTTATTCTATTTAAAAGAGAAAGTAGCCTGTTGGTTTAACTCTGCACAAACTGACGCCTGGTGGGAAATGTGTTTGTTCTCCCTGCCTCCTGCCTGCTTCCCCGAGTCCTGCTCTTTGCAAGAGCCCACGATCGCTGCAGCCCATGGGATCCATGAGCAAGGTCCCAGGCCCATCCCTGCCCCTGCTCAGGTCCCGAACTCAGCTTCATCATCGGGTACAGGGGAGGAGGGAAGGGTAATATCAACTCTGCTCACCACATATGGCTGTTGTGACCACTGAAAAAATGACTTCATGATGGGGAAATGCGTGGTCAATTGGAAAGCAGTTCCAGCAGGCCAGGGGAGGCTGTCTCTCCCACCAGCCTCCCACCAGCCCACGATACCCTGGCATTCGCCTGGTACTGCACGTGCCACCTCATCCCGTTTCCCTCTACAGCCACCATCTCTTCTATTCCATGGCTCTTAGAGGACAGGACCCAGGCCTGCTACATTCCTCTGTCCCCCTCATCCCCCAGTCAGGGTTTGCCAATGGTGATGTAGGGTGGGAGGTCCTGGGGCACAGACCTGTGCTTCCCAACCCATGCACCCCAGCACCCCAGCCTGGGCGTGGGCAAGATGGACCCCCCCAACAAATGAAGTGTCCTCATCCCCTTTGCCCACACTATTTCCAAAAGCAATTACTATCGTGCGTTCACCCTCGAAGACCCAGTTCAAGCATTCTCTTCTGAGAAGTCTTTCCAGGAGCCCCTGGCACAGTGGCCGCACCCTTTGCTGGCTTCCCTTTGCTCATTCTCTATTGCAGCAATGACATGACCACCAGCACGTCACAAGACCCCATGTGCCCATCTCCCTAGGGGACTGGAGCACCTCCTGGACAAGGACTTTCATTCATCTTCACAGTCCAAGCTCAGCACCCAGCCCGTGGGAGGCGATCGCATGTCTGAGTAAAATGATGAGTTAAAATGAAGCCTTTCAGGCCGGGCGCTGTGGCTCACGCCTGTAATCCTAGCACTCTGGGAGGCCGAGGCGGGCGGATTGCTCGAGGTCAGGAGTTCAAAACCAGCCTGAGCAAGAGCGAGACCCCGTCTCTACTATAAATAGAAAGAAATTAATTGGCCAACTGATATATATATAAAAAAAATTAGCCGGGCATGGTGGCGCATGCCTGTAGTCCCAGCTACTCGGGAGGCTGAGGCAGAAGGGTCACTCAAGCCCAGGAGATTGAGGTTGCTGTGAGCTAGGCTGACGCCACGGCACTCACTCTAGCCTGGACAA